CTGGACCAGTAAGCGGCGATTAATTTTAACGATTTTTACCCTCCACCGAAAATCAAAGAATTTTATTTTACGAAAACTCGGAGTGCTGGGTGCAGAGCGCATGAAGAATGAGAGAAGAAATCAAAGAATGTAAGAAGGAATCAAGGAATGTTAGGAGGAATCAAGGCATCAAAGAGAACCATAAGGTATGTACTAGTACTGGGAGAAAGGATGGCACGTTCGAAGAGGGATCATCGGAAGGCTTTCTCTTTGAACTGCTGAGCCACTGCTATACTCATCGCGATAGAATTCAGAAGACTTCTTCGAGCAGTACAACACTAAAATCTACGCAACAGCAAGCTGGCCAAACGCTCCAAGAAGTTCAACAACACTCTCCACAACACTGAGACATTCTCCAGTCGATCGTTTTATTCTCTTCTGGTTCAAGTCGCCGTACTCTAATGATAACTAATGTTTCAACGGTTACTTGCAAGACTGGTGTTGTACGTAACCCGTCGTTGCAACAGCTGCGCGCTTTGGTTGGACATAGCCGGCCGTGCACACATCGATCAGCGCTGTGAATGTACAGTCAGTGCAGTGAGTGATGCATGCGCATGTACTGTACAGATCTGTGGCGCAAAACGATCGATCATCGACGCATCGCATAGTACGTAATAGTACACAATTTCATATTCGCGAGTCAAACTTTCGCGATTCGACCCTGCTCGCGAAAGTCGCGAAAGTTAATCGCTCGCGAAAGTTTGTCGTTTTACAAGTGTCGCTCCTGGACGGTGAGACAGACGTCGAGGACCCTCGGTCATTCGCAACGCTGTCACCTCCAAACCAACTAGTCGCAAGCCCGCACTGGGCACAACACGTCTGCCTCACTTCTGTCTCACCGTCCAGGAGCGTCTGTCTCACGTCTGTCTCACCGTCTAGGAGCGACACTGACTCACGCTGCTATCTGGTGTTCACGAGGTGTTTGTCGCGCTGGAAACGGAGCGTCTCTGTAAGTTTGTATCCCTGGTGATGTTTGTGCCTGGAGAGCACTATATAAGTGGTGCTCTTCAGGCACAATCTTCCTCAGCCTACTCAAGCTCAACTGCTGAGGGGTGAATTCCCCGAAACACTGTGTATTGAGCAGGGAGTGGTGCTTTCTTGCAGGTTTGCCGAGTCGAAGGTTCGATGGACTTCTCGTGTGCTCTGGATGGCAGTCGTGAGTCAGTCAAGTGTCAAGTAAAGTCGGCGGAATAGCGCGAGCTCCTAGTGTAGGGAGCAAACCCTTTATTATTATTATTATTATTATTATTGTGAAGTGTGTGGGTTACAGTGAGGGCTGCGTCCCACCCGCCTGTGTGGACTCACAGGAAGTGTGAGTTACGAAGTCTGAAGAAAATGTTGAACGGCCTCTGCTGGGATGACGACTACACCATAGCTCAGTGGTTAGAGCATCGCTGGCTACAAGCGAGGGTCCCTGGTTCGAGTCCTGGTGGTGACAGTCAATTTTTTCTTCAGACTTTTCCCGTTTGTCTCTTTCCCTCAAACCAGTTAATATTTTATGACTTGGGGCTCCCCGCGTGCTAGTTTGTACGTGAAGTGTGTGGGTTACAGTGAGGGCTGCGTCCCACCCGCCTGTGTGGACTCACAGGAAGTGTGAGTTACGAAGTCTGAAGAAAATGTTGAACGGCCTCTGCTGGGATGACGACTACACCATAGCTCAGTGGTTAGAGCATCGCTGGCTACAAGCGAGGGTCCCTGGTTCGAGTCCTGGTGGTGACAGTCAATTTTTTCTTCAGACTTTTCCCGTTTGTCTCTTTCCCTCAAACCAATTATTATTATTATTATTATTATTATCACTCTCTTATTATTGACCCCCACAGAAACTTGTGATCTTTAAGCGGTCAAATATTAGCATTTAGAATCAACTCGTAAAAACTCCAAGTCAATCTCCCATTGACACAAACCTCGTTTATTCAACATAATCATATCCTATCCATTAAAAACAGTTCATAAAAACAGTTCATAAAACCAGTTCTTAAAAACAGTTCATAAAAAAAGCTTTTTAGGATCGGACCCAGTCCGCATAACCAAGAGAGCTAGCTCCCTTGGCTGCTGTTGGAATATGCAAGAATGGGCCTTCCAGATAAGGTCTAACAAGGAAAAGTGGCTATAGTTATGAAATGAACACCGGTAACCATGGAGACAGACCACACTCTCATCATAGATACTGGTTATAAATAGACCGAATAAGGAAAATGATCTGATAGCCTATGAACAGTAAAAGAAATTGAACCAATGACAACGAATACTCGTCCAGCACACGAGTTGTCATAGCAACACAAATAACAGCTGTCCACTAATTTTGTTGTCGGAGATTGAGTAGGAGTTTTTACTGGTTGATTCTTAATACAATAAATGCTCCGGCCTTGGGTTTATGACCAATAAAAACTAATTATAAAAACCTCGGGGGACATCGGTTTTTATAATAGTTGTTATTGGTCATAAACCCTCGGCCTCCTCATTTATTGTATACATATTGACCGCTTATATTGACCACTTATTACTGGTGTTGACCACTTAGCCCGAGGACCTACAGTCTGTTTCAAAAAGATTTACAATCAGGTTTGGGTCTTAAAAAGTATGAAGATAAGGGAAATTTGAACAACCAAGTACATAGAATGGCTTGTTAGGACACGGCAAATTGTTCTGTTAAGGTTTCGGAACAATTGGACCAACCGTTAAGGAGTTAGAATTTCGGCCAGGTTTCCGGCCATTTCCCATGGTTTACAACTTGCCCAGGAAGCCAGTATCGATTTTTTATCAAAACCCACGATTTATCCTTTCCTTTTTGGCCTTGTGGTTATGAATGCTGTCTGCTGACCATGAAGTTGTGAGTTCAAATCCCAAACTATCCTCAAGTCAAATTTTTTTCATTGTTTTGGTGATCAAGCTGGTACAAGGCAAAGAAGATGACTGCACCAAACGACTTGTTGGAGCTTGCGCTTCCTGCCGAACTGACTGACACTTGACTGGCTCACGCCATGTGAACACACCCACAACACTGCAATGGTGTGAGTGAATTATAATGGAAGTCATCGCGCTGTAGCTTTTGAGATTTATTTTAGTATTTCAAGATCGCCAATTTATTTGAATTTAGCAGTCAACGCCATCTTCTATCAGCGTTCACAAGTGTCTGCTTTTCTCAAAATGTCGTCGAAGTCACACGGATAGCTTTGCCAAGTCATGGCCTTGGGAATGAGTCCGTGTCGATGTCGTTTTCGTCACACGGTGAGTAAATTGCATCGCAGCTCAAAGAAACTATTTGGTCACGAAACGAATTGGGACCCATGCAGCTCGTCAACATTTACAACACTTTCGTTTCGACATGTCCTCTCTGACTCCATTATCGATACGAGGAAGAACTCGTTTGTTGTAAACCAGACGTACATGACTGTAGCAACGTGAGTGAGTTGTCATTTTTCCTGCTTTCACGCGGAATATTTCTTCGAGTTCACAGTGAGTTTTTCCAGGCAGCGCTCGAGTGCTCATACGGTAAGACGCCAAACTCCGCGGGCGATCGCCAGGATTGTAAATCTTTTTGAAACGGACTGTAGAACCTCTTCCTCAACTTAGAAAAAATCAGAACTGAGAGAAGAAAAATCTGAAGCCAAATGTTGGGATTTGAACCCAAACTGTCAGATTCTCAGTCGAAGAACTTGGGGAACATACTGAAGTAGTGTCCAATGTAAATGGCACATGTACATACTATGTACTATTAAAATAGTATCTTCAGAAGGATTACTGGCAAATCAAAACTCAATATAAATACGCACAATGCAAGTAGTAACTTAGACCGGATTTAGCGCGAGCAATGAGAGCTAAAAGAAAATTATTATTTTTATTATTATTCATTTCTTCCTATAAACACAGATAAAACAGGTTAGGTATGCCATTTCTTCCTATAAACACAGATAAAACAGGTTAGGTGTGCCATGTCGTGATAAATCTATTATTGCCCCCATGATCGGTCAATATATGAAACATAAACCTCGTAAAAGACCTCAGAGGACCTCGGTCTTTTACTCGTTCTATATTTCATATATTGACCTCTTTAATCGTGCAACAGAGAGGTTTTGCATTCCGAATTTCGTAATGATTTTCGACTGTGCATTTCCGAAAAAAAGCGCGTGCCGAAAAACGGCATTTTCAGTGTTTTGCATTCCGAAAATCTGATTCGACTTCATTTTAAAGGGTTGCCATGCAAAACAAAATGGAAAGCGTCGAAGGGTTTGAGCAGGATCAAATCCATGTGCAGGTCAAACTGAATTTGGGTGCGGTTCGAAGACGAGGACGGACTGATGGTGGACCAAGTGATCCAACTGCTGAAGACGAGGTTGGCAAACTACTGTCTTGTACTGTCAGTAGGCTCCATGGCAAAGGAAGATAGAGTGTGATGGAGTGTGAGAAGATTAGTCAACATGGCGAGATCAGTGAGAGCAGCAAAAACCAGCAAAAATCAAAACTACATACGTGGAAAAATTTCAAATAATCGAGAGTAGCAGAAAGCAAAAATACAAACATGAAAAATACACTTTTTTGTATTCAAATATGCACTCCCAAACATGAAAGAGCCGAAAATCCATGTTCGGAAAGCCATGCACTTTCGCCACCACACTTCCGAAAGTTCGACTACTTTTTCGACTGCTGCCGCCACATTCCGAAAATAATTCTGAAATTCGGAATGCAAAACCTCTCTTTTAATAGATACATATAAAAAGGACCAACATGTTACATGGTATCCGCAGTGTGTGTCCAACACCAGCAGTGATAAGCAAGATGTTGTATGATGTTGTGTAGTCAGAAAGTGAAACTACGGATAACCTGTATAATTTTAACTGGTTTGAGGGAAAAATTTGGCAATTTAAATTTTTTTTATGGAGGTTTGCACATTGCAAACCGTAGTTAACATTCACGAAACCAACAAGCCAAAGGCGCCATGGCAACCAGTAAATGAACCCGCAAAAATAACAATAATTAGAATAAGAAACAGAAAAAAAATCAAGTTAGTGTGACAACAAATGCAAGGTTCCCTTTCCGGTGAAAGTGCTGCAACTGAGTGTGTCATTGCTGACCAACAATTTGTTTTCCCCACCCTCCACTTCCACTGTACAAGTATTACTGGTACACATGGAGGCATGTGGGGTTGGCGGTCAATCGCCTGCCCGCAGCTTCGGGCAAACACATGACACCGGGTTGTCATCGCAAAATGCCCCCAGAGGTGGCCGGGCACCGGGTTGCCCAGGGTGACCGCGGCCCACGACTTCAAAATGTTTCTCACCTTATCACTATTCCCTTGTTCCCTGATCATTGCCTTGGAACAGTATCACTTTGCTCTCAGATGTTTCAAAATTTGATTCGAATGATTAATAAATTTCGGGCACATGAAACCCCTCCAAAAAATACCAACCGTGATCCGTTGTTGTGTGGAGTGAATGTTGAAAAATAATTTTGGTCCTGATTTTTAATCCTTGGCTCTCCATTCCAGTCCAGGCTCCATCCAGGCTCATTGGGAAGGACCATTTTGAAGTCAGGCGGCCGAATGTACGAAACACTGATCCTTACTGTCACGCACATTACAGAGTTTCAGCTGCAGGTTAGTTTGACGTGACGCATACCTTCCGCTTGCATCTTGCAGCACAACGCGAGAGAGCTGCATCTCATGTAATACTCCAATTTTTGACGCAATTGACATGAACGAGTCAAGTAAAAATAACGTGCGCCGCTTAGCCTCTCTCTCTGCAATATTTTCCGCACGTGCATCCAAAAACTGTACTGCAGGTCTGTTCCAGCATGCTTACGCTTTCCATGCCCAGCCTCACATAATCGCGACAAATTGAAAATCTGGGCTCGAACAGTGCTGGATTATGTCGCACTGTGAATCTTAGTGAAAAATTATAGTTGTGACCGAACTCTCTACTGAGAGCCAGTTTCAGGCAATCAATCGTAGATTCTGGAATGAAAGTAATTCGCATATCACCTATTATCTACATTGATGCGCATAGCCTCTACCGCCTGCTGTGTGATGTCATTGGCTGCTGTGTGTGATGTCATTGGCGTTTCAAGATCCTAAAAGACAGGAGTGAATAGCTTACAATGAGAATATGTCGGCAGCGCATGTTTGCGAGACCTTCGTGTAGCATTCAGGGGCCACGTGAGCTGCTTGGTTCCATTTACCACTTGCTGTGCCGGTAACTGGAGTCAACCAGGCGGCCATTCCAAAATCTTGAGCAGAACAGAACGGGGAAAAAGCACATCGATGCAGGTTGGGTTATGGGTCACAGATCATGAATCGATCTAAGCATTCTGAAAAACCATCACACATCATGGTTTCGTTTTTGCTTCAACTTTTCAGGAACAGGTAAATGTACAAATAATAATTGATTTAAAAGTTCGAATCACTCAATATCCACGATCTTGGGCTTCCTAGTTATTGAAATCGTTCTTCACCAAGTTGCAGGGCGTCCAGGCTCGGAAAGACCGAAACATTACGACAATGAAACATTACAAACTGCCTGAAAAGAGATAAAAACGCCAGACCCACCAGGACTCAAACCCCCTTGCTAGTCATGACCAATGAGTTTTGGTGGGTCTGGCGTTCTTTCTCTTTTCAGGCAGTTCACTTCCCCGACTCTCTTTTCAGGCAGTTCACTTCACCAACTGATCCTTTGAATTTGAAGTTCTCCCAATCCTTTCCTTTCAAAAATTATTATTACGTAAAAAGGCGACGTCTAGACAATAATCTTAATAAGGCAATGCATATGACTATATGCGCACTCGTATCATAACCGTGGGGACGAATAACGTGTTCCAGTAAGTTTTCCTGTCACAATTATCAATGGAATTCTTGACTAAAGAGAATGATGAAACTACAAGAGGAACTATAGACTTGGAGTGAAAAGTGAAAAGACACGAGAATACAAGAATTTGGACTTCACGGAGAATTTCAAAGTGCATGTATTAGGAAATTAGAGGCCACGTGCTACAAACTGCTCTTTACTTTCCGAAACTCAACATTTGCTAGCCAAATCCGAAAGACAGAAAAAAATCATCAGTCACACCACCGGGACTCGAACCAAGGACCTTGCCATTCGCGAGCAATGCTCTAATCAACTGAGCTACAGTATGACTCAAATCCACAGTGGTGGTCAATCTATGGATTGATCGAAGAAGAATAGATTGACAACCACTGTGGATAAGAGTCATACTGTAGCTCAGTCGTTTGGAGCATTACTCGCGAAAAGCAAGATCCCTGGTTCGAGTCCCGGTGGTGTGACTGATGATTTTTTCTGTCTTTCATATCTGTCTTGCAAATGTTGAGTTTCGGAGAGAAAGGAGCAGTAAGTGGCATGTGGCCTCTAATTTCCTAATATTTTAAAATGCTCCGTGAAGTCCAAATTTGCTATTGCAATTTGTATTTGCTCGCAGTGGACATAGTTTGATGCGCTCCCCATGCTATCAAGCGAATGGCCGAGGGGCCTCTTGATTGGTGTGAGTTGAAAGTAGTATGATGCACGCCAGATATGGATTGATCAAAGAAGGATAGATTGAGCACCACTGTGGAGAAGAGTCATACTGTAGCTCAGTTTGTTAGAGCATTGCTCGCAAATAGCAAGGTCCCTGGTTCGAATCCTGGTGGTGTGACAGGTGATTTTTTTTGGCTTTCATATCTGGCTTGCAAGTGTTGAGTTTCGGAGAGGAAAGAGCAGTACATGGCATGTGGTCTCTAATTTCCTGATACAGGAATAGTATTAAAGAAAAATAAAATAAACTTCGGAAAATGTTGCACAGGTAACAAAAACTATTCAGGTGAGAAATGATAGAATATTCAGCAAGTGCAGTGCAACAATGTACATGCATGTGCAAGGATGTGTGAGTGCGGATTTACTGGAATAGTGTAAGTGCGGTGACATTTTCTTTTTTTTACAAGATTTAGATCACGATTGCGAATGTAGACTGCTTGTACAACTTTGAACAGCTTGAAACTACTTGCAGAACGAACAACACTGAACCAAGAATCATCATAACTTTCACGACAAACTGGGTTAGACAACAAATGCAATTTAATTGCCGATGTATTCTTCTTCTTCGCACCGCCTCCACCTCCGCCTCCATTCATTACATTATTATTGGACTCGGATGGAGAGCCAAGGATTAATTTATACAAAAGGGAAAGGACCAAGGAACTACAAGTTACGCTATACTGTCCACTAACACCACCAGTTCTTCGTTTGAAACCGCTGCTTGCTGCCGCCGCCGCTTATTGTCCATCAAAATTGTCATAGTCGAGTCCCAGTGCTGCTTTACTGAGGTGTTCGGTTTTTCATGATTCTTGTTCGCATAGCTCCCCCTTTTATTGATCTTCACATGTTTTGAGCCACACAAGTTGTGTGGAATGTTGCTTTGCGTTCTTGAATCATGGTTTGACCTTGGTCTTGCCAGTATCGTCATCGACATGCATGAACAACCGCCAACGTCCTTCATAGCTGAGTTGTCCAGCTCGTGCTTATCTTGGTTGTGCTTACATTCCCTTCCTTATGTTATTTCTATAACTTAGAACCTTCCAAGTTGGACGGCTGTTGGAGTGCGCATCCAAGATGTGCTAAAGCTGTTAGTCAGTTAGTTGTAGAACGTCAGTACTGTCGGTCCGTGTCGTCCAATGTTATCCTTTGAGCTGATTATTTAGTAACAGGTGGTGGGTGTCGTCCAATGTTATCCTATGAGCTGATTATTTAGTAACAGGTGGTGTTAGTGGACATTATAGCGTAAATTGTAGTTTCTTGGTCCTTTCTCTTTTGTGTGCTATTATTATTATTATTACTATTATTAAGTAGTGCTTGCGACTTCGGCAATGACTTGTAAGAAAGGGTTTGCTCCCCACACCGGAGCTCGCGCTATTCCGCCGACTTTACTTGACACTTGACTGACTCACGACTGCCATCCAGACCACACGAGAAGTCCATCGAACCTTCGACTCGGCAAACCTGCAAGAAAACACCACTCCCTGCTCAATACCCAGTGTTTCGGGGAATTCACCCCTCATCAGTTGAGCTTGAGTAGGCTGAGGAAGATTGTGCCTAAAGAGCACCACTTATATAGTGCTCTCCAGGCACAAACATCACCAGGGATACAAACTTACAGAGACGCTCCGTTTCCAGCGCGACAAACACCTCGTGAACACCAGATACGTCCAGGAGCGACACTGACTCACGCTGCTATCTGGTGTTCACGAGGTGTTTGTCGCGCTGGAAACGGAGCGTCTCTGTAAGTTTGTATCCCTGGTGATGTTTGTGCCTGGAGAGCACTATATAAGTGGTGCTCTTCAAGCACAATCTTCCTCAGCCTACTGAAGCTCAACTGATGAGGGGTGAATTCCCCGAAACACTGTGTATTGAGCAGGGAGTGGTGCTTTCTTGCAGGTTTGCCGAGTCGAAGGTTCGATGGACTTCTCGTGTGGTCGGGATGGCAGTCGTGAGTCAGTCAAGTGTCAAGTAAAGTCGGCGGAATAGCGCGAGCTCCGGTGTGGGGAGCAAACCCTTTATTACTATTATTATTAACCTTACCAATGAAAAAGAACTCTTCCTCTCCTCTCCTCCATGCGCTCTCACAGCCGACTCACTGCTACCCTCGGTAGCCATTACAAACACCAACAGCCATACAAGGAAGGGTTGCAGGTAGATACTGAAATTCCTCCTGACAGCTGTTTCGCCTTCATGAGGCTCATCAGAGAAGGTGATATTGAATAGGATGATATCAGGTGGAGATGGTCAGATTCATACTACAAAACATGGGCGCAAGATTACGGGCAAAGTGTGAGAATGAGAAGTTACAATTCTCCAGCAGCTCAGTGCCAGGGGTTCCAAGAAAATGGCACGTGAGAAATCCAATCACAAGCTGCTAACCTCTCCAGCAACACAGTGCCCGGGGTTCCAAGAAAATGGCAGGTGAGAAATCCAATCACAATCTCATTTCTGCTTTCGCCATGCTGGGCCGGGTTGTCTCGACGTTCAATGGCAGCGAGCAACGGAGTTGCAAATGGGGACAGCGCGAGGTAGCGGTCAGTCCGGCCGCATACGGTGCGCCGCAAGGTGTGACGGCCAGCGGAGATCTGTTGCTCGGGAGTACGCCGGAGGGGACTCTGCGGGTACAGTCGACGTGGTGCGTCTCTGCATGCCTGCGCGGCTGGCTGGCGAACTGCCTAAGTGTGAAGTACATGTAACTACAGTCCATTCATGCGTGTGTGCACCCTTTGTAACTTACTTTTGCTGCACTGCACGCTTGGTAGATTCTACTCTGCTCTACATGTCTTTCTTTCACTTTGTTTGGTGGCTCGCCAAAATTCTTAAACGATCACCTAGCCGTTAGAAAATTAAATTAATGTTAGCAGCTTGTGATTGGATTTCTCACCTGCCAATTTCTTGGAACCCCTGGCACTGTGCTGCTGGAGAATTGTAACTTCTCATTCTCACACTTTGCCCGTAATCTTGCGCCCATGTTTTGTAGTATAAATCTGACCATCTCCACCTGATATCATCCTATTCAATATCACCTTCTCTGATGAGCCTTATGAAGGCGAAACAGCTGTTAGGAGGAATTTCAGTATCTACCTGCAACCCTTCCTTGTATGGCTGTCGGTGTGTGCAATGGCTACCGAGGGTAGCAGTGAGTCGGCTGTGAGAGCGCATGGAGGAGAGGAGAGGAAGAGTTCTTTACATTTTATTGGCCGAATAATACGGTTCCCCATTTGAACTTACCAATGAGTTTAACGAATTCCCGATTCGTCCCGTGTACCATTAAGTTGTCTGGTTTCAAGTCCCTATTGCACAGGCATAAAAAACATAGTGATCAGGTTTGGCACAAGTCTTGAACAGTACATCCTCCCGGATTCCCGTGTTAGAATAATTATGTTGGGCTCAGTAGAGGGCACCTATAATGATGTCCATCCCCTATAATTATAGAGTCTATTGGTCCAACATCCACTATACACAGTTCAATCTAGGAATCAACTGTAAGTTCAAAGTTTAGATGGATATTGATCCCTGTATATCGTCCAGACAATTGGCTCTCCCTATATAGAGTTTACAGGTCCAAAATCCACTATACACAGTCCAAACTTGGAATCAACTATGAAGAGTTTGATGTGGACAACACTCCGTGTATAAAGTCCAGCCAATTAGGCATCCCATACAGAGTTCAAAATTGGACATAGG